GGGTTTTATAAATTTGGAAATATTTTGTCACAAAACATAATAAAATATCTTTTATTATTAAAACTTGGCAAATACTTATTATAAAACATTATGTCTTTAAACTTTAATGTGACAAAAAAATTATAACCAAATTTTAATTTGAAAAACGAAAATTATAGTAAAATAATGTAAATTTATTTAAGAAAATAAATGTAAATTTACTTAATGAAAGATTTTTTTATGATTGATTTAAATTTAAAATAGAAAATTTCTATAGAAATTTGCCATGTCATGTTTTTGTTTAGCCATGTCATATTTTTTTTTTTGAGAGAGTGATTGTAGAGATGACATCAAACTCTTACAAATCGTCCCAAATAATATATAAGGGATGTGTTGATGCCATTATAATTTTATATCAGGATAAACATTGGACTCAAAATCTCAAACCATGATTTATTAGAAAAAAACAAAAACAAAAAATTCTTTTATCAACCTCGCTTAGTTTGACATCCTAACTAGTTTCATTTCCTTTTAAAACTATTAATTTTATTTAGCCACAAGACAAATGATAAATGACATTTTATTTTCTCATTTTAAATAAAATGACAGGCCATATAGAATTTGAAATAAATGTACAATGGGGCCATGATAATGATAATACTAATGTGAATGCACGAATCAATTATTTTCCACATTACACTATATTCAAATGACGTTCCATATAGTTTCGAGTTTCTATGTATTTCTACCCAAAAAGTCGTATTGTAATCGGATTTTGTATATGTAGTTATTAACTTATTATAGCATTGACTTTATGATGTCAGATATTTTATTAAATTACCCAATACATACAAATATGCCCTTCTCTCACGTCTCTCTAAACCCTATAAATACAAGCGCACTCTTCTCATTTATCTTTACCTCTCTCACTCAAAAAGCACCTCAATAATCCTTAAGAGACCGATCCTATCCTTTGAAAGAAAATGGCTGCAAAAAACTCAGCTTGTCTCGTCCTCTTCTTTGCCCTCAACATCCTCTTTTTCACCTTAACAGATGCAACTAATCGTGGCTGTCCCCCAAGTCCTAAGCACAAGAAGCCCGTCTCAACTCCTAAACCAAGGCCGGTCCCAGGTAGGGCCCCTATTCGTCCTTCCGTCCCAAGTCCTTCGGTTCCAATCCCTTCGGTCCCAAGTCCTTCGGTTCCAGTTCCTTCGATACCAAGCCCTTCGGTCCCAGTTCCTTCGATTCCAAGTCCTTCAGTCCCAAGCCCTTCGGTACCAAGCCCTTCGGTCCCAGTTCCTTCGGTACCAATCCCTTCGGTTCCAAGCCCAAGTACCCCTGGTTCATCCGGAAACTGTCCTATAGATGCCCTCAGGCTCGGTGTATGTGCAAACGTCCTACGCGGCCTACTCAACATACAGTTGGGTCAGCCATCAGCTCAACCATGTTGCTCGGTAATCCAGGGTTTGGTTGACCTCGAGGCTGCAGTTTGTCTGTGCACTGCTCTTAGGGCTAACGTTCTCGGAATCAACCTTAACGTTCCTATATCCCTCAGCCTTCTTCTCAACGTTTGTGACAAGAATGTTCCGTCCCGTTTCCAGTGTGCTTGAACGATATCAACTATGCATACGTACACAGAGTTTCCTCTTAAAAATATTATAGTTTGAATAAAATGCATGTTCCCATGCAAGTTAAGGTCTAACGTTTAAATCTGTTGTTTAAGTGAGTGTTATTTATACTTCTTTGTAAACTTTCTTTTGGCGCATGTATGTTTTTGTTGTAACTTCTATTCTTAGACAGTTAAATAAAAG